AAAAAAAAAAAAAAAAAAAAGTTACTTGGTGTACTTGAGTTAACTAAAAATAGTCAAACTCTTAAAAACTAAGTAGAGTGGTGGCTGCCAGGGGCTGGGGATAGAGTTTCAGTTTTGCAAGATGAGAACATTCTGTCGCACAACAAGGCGCATATAGTCAACCTGACTGTACTGCCCACTTAAAAATGGTTAAGATGGTAAATTTTCTGTTATTTGTTTTTTAGCGTGCACACACACACACACAACACACACGTTACTTGGTATATTCATTATAACATGAAATACATTTTTCTTCCCCTAAAATGTTATAATGATGGTTAGAGTTCCAATCTAGCTAACTTAAAAATGGTCACTTAATAATATATTTGAAGCATAAAATTATACTAACCTAGACACACATTACAATGATATGGAGACATACACTGAGAGTTCCAGTTTGGAATGCAAAGAATATATTGCCCTTGCAAGAGTGGAATTGGGAATCTTCCTTATCAGCCAGTAGGTAGGAACTCACACAACTCCAAGCCACAACCAAGAGCTCTGATGGCTTGAGGAAGAGGTCAAGCTCTAAATGTCTTGGGTGAGAAACTGTGAGACGCTGGAGCTTTTTGCTAGTAAACCTCCTAGGACTATTTCCCTAAGTGTGTTCCGTAATATACTAGCTCCATCCTATGTTCTACCTAAGAACATCTAGCGTCAACTAAGGTTGAGAATTGCTACACACCATAGCTCCTCTTAGACACTAACGATGCACATCAGCACCTAAAAGCTCTGAGAAACACTACAGTAAAGAACACTTTTGAATTTTGTTTTCCCCAAGATTTCCTCAAATTTTATAACCATGGAACACCACTAGACTCCCTCTTGACCCCTTTTAAGCATGTTGTACAGTTCCACAGAACATATATTAGGAAATGGCACCTTAGAACATTTTTTCTATGTACTATGTTCCCTTTCACCCTATGTGTTTTTGTGTGTGTATGTGTGTGTGTGTTTTAAGGCCACCATGATTTAGCCTACCTGCCTTTCTTTCCCCTATTCTATCTACTAACTGCTATCAACCAGGCTTTTCCTCCTTCCTTGCCTTACAGCAAAACAGAACAAAATCTCATTTCCCTTAGTTCCTGACTTTCAGGTTGTCCAAGGGTTTATACTGTTAACTGCAATGGGAAGGAAACAGGCTAATATGTTTTCCTCAGAAAGGCAGTATTGTACTGAAATGGGTGCTGGACATAAAATCATAAGAGTTCAGATCTTGACTTTATTATCTTTGTCATCTGTGAGTCTTACTTTGCTTATCTGTAGAATGGAGTAATAAAACCTAGCCGGGATTATTGTGAAAATTAAGTGAGATAATTTATGTGCAATTGTCTAGTATGTAGTAAGTCCTCAATAAGTATGGTATGAATAAGTGTGTCTTGCAAAATGAGATGAGATCTTTTGGAGGTGGGAGAAAGTTGATGAGATAAAATAGAGAGAAACGTTTAAGAAGAGTGCTGGTACCAAAATACTTAAGACTAAAATTATACGATGTCTGGGATTTGCTTCAAAATAAAATGGTGGTAGTTATATATGAAACAGAATTGGCCAAGAGGTGATAGTTGTTAAAGCTGGGTAGTAGGTATGTGGGGATTCATGATACTGTTCTGTCTTCTTTGATTATGTTTAAATTTTTCTATAATAAAAAGCAAAACAAAATAATACCAACAAAAAGGAATACTACTAGACCTGAAAGTGTGTCTAAGAGGAACGCTTTATTTTTTTATTTTATTTTTTATTTTTGGCTGCGTTGGGTCTTTGTTGCTGCACACAGGCTTTCTCTAGTTGCAGTGAGCGGGGGCTACTGTTTGTTATGGTGTGCGGGCTTCTCGTTGCGTTGGCTTCTCTTGTTGCAGAGCATGGGCTCTAGGTGCACGTGCTTCAGTAGTTGCAGCACATGGGCTCAGTAGTTGTGGCTAGTGGGCTCTAGGGCTCATGGGCTTCAGTAGTTGTGGCTTATGAGCTCTAGAGCACAGGCTCAGTAGCTGTGGTGCACGGGCTTAGTTGCTCCATGCCATGTGGGATCTTACCGGACCAGGGATCAAACCCATGTCCCCTACATTAGCAGGCGGATTCTTAACCACTGTGCCACCAGGGAAGTCCCAAGAGGAGGGCTTTAGCGTGTTACTCTTTTTTCTTTATCTTTGTCAATAGCATATGGTGACCATTCCCAACTGGTCAGTTGTATATAAGAAACATACATAAACTTTGTAGATGTAAGTCATAGATTGCCTAAAAATGCATATACGTTGAATCCTCACCATGGTATACTATGTTAATGTGAAATTTCTAAAGGGGTAGAGCACCCCATATACTACATAGATCTCACTCATAGCATGATGCTTTAAAGTAGATAGATTCAAGGATAGAGTGAATTGAGAAGGATTAGTTTTAAGGGTGGGAAGAGGTCTAACATCAGAGTCTTCCTGGTTTTAGGTATTAAAAATTGAGAAATGTTTTTTTTGTTTGTTTGTTTGTTTTTGCGGTATGTGGACCTCTCACTGTTGTGGCCTCTCCCATTGCGGAGCACAGGTTCCGGACGCACAGGTTCAGCGGCCATGGCTCACGGGCCTAGCCACTCCGTGGCATGTGGGATCTTCCCAGACCGGGGCACGAACCCGTCCCCTGAATCAGCAGGCAGACTCTTAACCACTGCGCCACCAGGGAAGCCCGAGAAATGTTATTTTTTTGAGCTAAGATTTGATCTAGCCTATTTGGACCTAGCCTATTTGAACTTTATAAGTATTACAGAGAATCCTAGTACACAGCACTGAATGGGACCAGTCTCCACCCCTAGACATGAATAATCTGAGGCCCAGAGATATTAGTAATGATTTCTTAAATATCCTATCTTCTATTCTTCAGTTAAAAGCAAAGCTAGAACAAGAATCTAATGATTCCTTTATTATTATACCTTGCTTTTGCTAAACTTAATTAGGTTATTTATTATTTATGTATATACATATGTATGTGTGAATATAGACACACACATATTTATGTTATTTTTATCTTAGACAAATTTTAATTGTAATTAGAAGCTTTCATATTTAGAAATAACTAGACCTTGAACTGTATATCAATATGTGCTCAGGTTTGATAGCCATCATCACATGTTCTTGAGTACCCAGTATGTGATGGGCATGGTGCTAAGGGATACAAAGATGAAGACAACACAGGCTCTGCCTCATACCTCTACAATCTCATACAGCTTCCAAAAGGGAGGGAGTATTTACATAACAAATGGCAATATATTCTTAAAACTTTATTCTGCAGTTCCTACCAGTTTTTAAAATTTTGTTATTCCCTTCCATACAACGTGGTTCTAAGCAAAATGATAAAGCAGGTGCATTGTCTTTAGTGCCCTTCTACTTTCCCCTTTTTATCTATTTCACCTGTTTTTAGGCCCCTTTTCCTTTCTCCAGACAACCAATACTGTATTACTATGTTGTGGTTTTTTTGGTTTTTTTCCTCAAAAACCAAACTTTTCAGGGACTTCCCTGGTGGTCCAGTGGTTAAGACTCCGTGCTTCCAATGTAGGGGGCATGGGGTCGATCCCTGGTCAAGGAAAAAGATCTCACGTGACACGCTGCACAGCCAAAAAATAAAAAAAGAAAACTTTTCAGGTGTAGTGTGTTCTTTCCCAGGGGCTTTCCCTCCCACCCCCACCCCACCCCCCACCCCAACCCCAACCCTAACCCCAACCCTAACCCTAACCCTAACCCTAACCCTAACCCTAACCCTAACCCTAACC